TGGAAGATACACATTGAAGTGGTTAAATGTGATAGTTTATCTTCGGAGTTGTTGAAGAACAATGGACGGCTTGAGAATACCAGATATTTCCTTTAGCACGTAGGCCAGAACATCGCCTTCAAACTCCACATTCATGTTTAGCCTCTTCTTTGACAAAGAAATGGAATGTTTGTTGTTGATTTTTGGCTTTATGTGTTTATCTGTAAAGCTTATTGGATGGCAGCGTCATCCTCAAAAGAGTGATCCCTTCTTCTACTGATTCGATGTTTCAGATTTTAGTCGCAAGAGATATTGTCAATAGTCTTTATTTGCATAAATATTTTTGAAGTAAGAGTGATCTTAATTTTACAAAACGCGACGTTTAAACAATCAACTTGTGTACATATGGAACGACGTGTGTTAATAAAAATAGTAATAGAAATTATCAGAATACGTTGATCACTGAAGACTAAAAACGACATATTGCTTGCTGTGTAATTCCTGTGTTATTCCCGTATCCCTAACCAGTCACGACGTCATTACATCAATAGCAGAACATGTGACTTGAGCGTCAGGAATCAGCTGTCTCAGTTGAGTCACCCCAACTACATCACTGATGATGATGAAGAGAGAAATGATTGTCACTTCAGTCTGTCTAGCGAGCAGTACTCAGTAGTATATAGCCATAAGCTCTCTGATCAAATCGCTGAGTTTTCTGAATAAATTTATTGTTACATTGTGAATCAGACACAAACAGTGGCTAATAAATAACCTTATTTTTATTAGGTGGTTGGAGGCGATCGACAGAAAGACTTGGACCCAAGTTTCATACTTGTTAGCACTCATCAGTCAGCAATGCATATCTGCGAGCTTGAAAGAACTTCGACAACTCTCTATCCGTTATTACTGGAGACTTCAACACATCAGATTGCTCCTTTCTTGAAGCTCTTGGTCACACAAATATAGTCAAATTTCCCACTCGACTTGACAAAACCCTTGACTTGGTTTTTACCAATGATGAAGGAGTATATGAAACACGTAGACGTTCACCGATACATAACTCCGATCACTGCATTGTCCGCGTTTTGCCAAAAATATACAGCAAAACACATATTAAAATCTTCTCACACCTGTCCACGAAGGCACAACAAAGAAGCTACACATCTGACAACTTACTCAATCTAAGATGCATGTTAAAAGATACCAACTGGGATCTATTCTATGAAAGTACATTAGATGACTCAATCACCAATATAATGGATTATCTCAAGTTCTGCCTTGACATATGCTGTCCCAAACAAACACTGTTCAAACGCCTCGACCGCTTCTCGTCTCCCCATCTCAAACAACTTCGCAGGCAAAAAGAAATGTTATATAAATGCAAAGACAAGTTAGGACTTAAAAAGATAAATGCTCAAATCAAATCTGAAATCAAAAATCTTAATGCTATCTATAACCAAACACTTTTATCATGCAAATCTCCAAACAGCATGTGGAAACTTTTCAATGAAATTACTGGCAATAGTAAGCGATGTAATGTTTTTCCCTCTTGTGATGTTAATGCTCTTAATCTGTCTTTTATACGCTCTCCTTCTACCATAACCACTTCTAATGTTACCAATCTTGTAGCTGATAACTTCCAGGACTTCAATACTCTCGATGTTTTGAAATGTCTTAAAACTCTTAAGCCCTCACATAGTCTTGGCCCTGATGGCATACCTGCATATGTTCTAAAACAATGTGCAGATGCTTTATGTTTTCCTCTAACTAATATCCTAAATGCTTCTTTCTCCGAAAACGTTGTACCTGTTCCATGGAAAGACATTAAAATAGTCCCTGTCCCTAAACCTGGAAATAGCAAGAACGTAAAGTTCAGACCCATCGCCATCACTTCCCCGTTTCTAAAGCTCATGGAAAAACTAATACTTCTTAAACTCGAACCCTCCCTTAAAAGCTTCGAAGACCCCAAACAATTTGCCTACAGACAGGGTAGGAGTACTTTAGACGCTGCAGCCGTCTTACACAACAGTATTGTCTCATCATTAGACAAAGGTGCCAAATATGTCCGCTGCACGTTTCTTGACTTTACTTCTGCTTTCGACTCTGTACCTAGAAGTCTCTTGCTAAATAAGCTATCCACAACACAAACCGAGTCTTGGGTCACTAAGTGGTTGCATTCCTACTTTTCAAACAGAATGCAGTACACCGTATACAAAGGTCAATCCTCCTCTGCTGTGCTCACTGAATCTGGTGTCCCCCAAGGTGCTGTACTCTCCCCACTTCTCTTTTCATTCTTCCTACATGACCTACCGTCTTCAAATGATATTAACTTTGTCAAATATGCTGATGACCTAACTGTATCTTTACCTGTCAAATGTCAAAATGACTGCTCTAAACTAAATGGCTTCTTATCAGAAATTAGCCAATGGTCCAAGGAAAACGGTCTAACCTTAAACCCCTCCAAATGCCAAACAGTTAATTTCACCTTTAGGCATAAATCTGACCTAAACAAACTGGTTAGCGCTCACGAGGTGTGCAACATAGATGGCACTGAAATAGAAACTAAGTCGGAAATTAAATACCTAGGCGTCACTCTATCTTCTGATCTTTCCTGGTCGTCTCATATCTTGACGATTTCCAAGAAAATATACCGTCTTACCTTCTACATCAAGAAGTTAAGACATTCTGGTGTAACCCAACCCTTACTACTACAATTTGTTAACTCCCGTATTCTGCCTATAATTCTCTATTGCTCCCCCTTAGTCTTTCCTGGGCTATTGAAGAAAGACTATACCTTATTACGTAGGATGTTAAAGGTTGTCAGCAGGGTAAGCAGTTTACCACTTAGCCAGCTTGTTAACATTCTGGTGGACAGGCACATGGACTCATGTGAAAAATGGGCGAAGTCCATTTTATCTGACTCACAACACCCTCTACACTCACAACTCTCCCCATGTATCTCTTCAGGGAAAACAAGAAGTCTATATAGGAAACTATATGCCCGCACTAGTAAGTACAAAAACTCATCCATACCCTACCTAGCCCGTGTTCTGTGTGATAAAGAATGCATCAGGCATGAAACCTTTAACTTATTAAATAGTCACTAGAACCAATGAATCTCGTCTTTCCAACTCACATCATTTATAGGTACAACGTTTTTTTTCTTTCATTCTGTATTTATTTTTGTTATGTGCTGTTTTGTTTCTCTCTTCCTTGCAAACTCTACTTAAAACATTCTTGTTCGTTCTTTTACACTCTGTATATCTCGACCATTTTGCTATCGCTTACGCCAGTAAATATGCTAGTAGTATCTACTTTTGTAACACCTTCAAACATTTTAATTTTGGCTTTGCTACCGACATACTAATATGTTGTTGAGATAATCTTTAATCTATGTAGAACTTTATTTATTGTTAATGTAAAAACTGGATGCAATATTGTAGTAAAATGCTGAGAATTCCATTCTGTATCACAAGTACTGATTTGGAATAAAGCTTATATAATAATAATAATAATAAAAGAACTCATGTTTCTTCTCCTGAGATTCCAGCCCGGGTTATCGACCACTGCAGTCAGAGACAATTATCACTGAACTACTCGGGCTATCAACTGACCTCCATTAGGATTGAAATGGATACTCTGATTGGACACTAGGTGGTAACTTGTGTTTCTGACAAGTTCCAACAGGCATAAAAAGTATGTCGTAGGCTTCCTGGAGATCGCCTCCAGTCATCTAATGTCAACAATCCAAAGTGCACTGTGATTAAATTGCAAGCTTGGGTGGTCGAAGTCAGTTCTGCACCGTATAAAGGACTAGATGCATAACATTAGTTACCATCTAATATTGAAATAAAAAAAAATTAGTCGGTCCCCGGCCGACGCACTCCTTCACCTCACTGAGCCAGAAATAATGCTGGTAAAGAGGAAAGGTTGAGAATGAGGCTAGCAAAACCATCCTGTAAAAATAAACGCCACTGCTACAGAAACTTCAAGTCACTAGCTTGAATCCCTATGTTCCACTGGGGAACGTGAAGGAAAAATACAAAATAAGGAGACGTAATTTGTCTGAATCGTGTAATGCTGTATTTGCGCAACACATTCCGAACAATCTTTATTTATTTTTTTTAATTTTTATTTTGATTTACAGCTTGATTCCACACTGTATTTTTGGTACAAGTATGGAATTTTCAGCATGGATATCGGTAGCCCAAATTTTGCAGGCCGACCATAGATATCAGGTGTGCGCCGGTGTGGGCTCGAACCCCGAACCATGTGCATGGTCGGCGAGAGTCCTAATCACTGTGCCACCGACGCACACACGGACCTGTCGTAGGAGTGGACATATATGAAATTAATAATGAGTTAACAGGTGAGAAAATAGACTTAGGTCAAGTTAAAAGCACATATTCAAGGTCAAAATAACAATGAAGACCAATAAACCAAATAGCAGAGGTAACAGTACATCTGCTCAGACTGGTATCAAGGGAAAATTTACCAAAGAAGGTTTAATGTGATGATGAATTGTTTTTGAACGCATAAAATTAGCTTAAACTTCCTAATTACTAGCTAGGGTTTCCACAAACTTTAGGATACGCCCCAAACATGTTTTATTGATAGGTTTAAAAGATCTGTTAACGTAAATTTTATATCCTATCTCTATAATATGTCTCGCAATTGAGGAGCTAGGTTCTAAAGATTCCATTTGTTTCTTTATATCTCCTGATGAACTTGTCTGGAAAATTTTTATCACTCAGAGTTTGTGAGTCAACTTTCTTTCTTCTTCATCAAGTGTGTCTTCAGAGCATATTTGTTGGATTCTACTGAAGAGGCATTTTACTAAGGCTCTTGTCTATGAATCTTTTGAATGAATCCACGTTCAAAATCTAATGAAATACTATGAATAAAAGTACATGTATAATCTATTATGAAACACCTCATAAGAGCTAACTACAAAAAATAGACTCGTGGTATTTAATTCACTTTGAAATTAATACTCTGATTCAAAAATAAACGCTACTTACTTCATTTGTATCTCGAAAAAATTCTTTGCCAAGGCAAACAAGTTTTAATAATACGCATAAAAAGAATAAGGCTGTGATTGCAATACTTAAATAATGCAAAATTTCAGAGGCTTCATGCATTGCCCTTGCTCCAATCTGATGCGTTTTCATCTGTGAATCACCACAAAATTCTTCAGAGTGTACACCACTGAAATATGGTAATATGCTATTTATAGATATATCTTCATGAATATTGGAAATATTTACAGGGGAAATTGTAGATGGACGTTTTGACCGGAGATTTCGTTGTTTATAGCTGTTAAAAGTTACTGAATGTTCTTCTTCTTTTTCTTGTTCCAAATGAGCATTTGTTATTGTAGCAATGTCTGAATGATTCGATGTGGTTGAATGCGAAAACAATTCCGTAGGGTGCTTTTCTTCTAATAAAAGGGAGAAAAACAATTCATGGAATAATAAAATACGTGGCTAGAGAAAATACGTAGTATAGGGAAATTTCGTAAAAACAGGTTTAATCACAAAACATTTAATTAATGATTACAATATAAGCTTTGATGTTCATTAGAAACCTGGAAGTGTTATCAGACAGCTGTTTTGTCCTGTTTAGGGACTCTTCATCGGTACGCACCCACTGACAGGGTTCGAACCCAGGACCCTTCGGTTAAAAGGCGAGCTCGTAGACAATTAAGCCACTGGGACCCGATTCAATGGCCTATCAATTCTAATTTCTGCCGGTTCACGGCATAGCTCGACGGCTAGCTGATGTATCCGGCTAGTATCTCTTCTCACACCTAACCTGCTGTACTCCACTGATCACGACTTCCTACTAGAACCAAAGTAACTTGCCTTGTAATCAGAAGGTCCTGAGTTTGAACTCTCGTGGTGGGTGAATACTGTTGAAGAATCTCAAAATAGGCTGACGAATCTGCTGTCTGGCACTACTCGCAGGTTTTCCAGTGGTTATCTAACCAATGTCAACTCATGATGAAATCCTGTAAACAGATAAGCTTTCATTTGGAACTGTAAAGGAATAAAAGCTTAGAAAATCCCTCCTGGACAATCCAGTCATAATATTTTTTCCTTATTTGGACGTTGCAACTAACTTTGTGACTATTATCCGTTTTCCGTCTAAACTGTGCATCATGATTTACACATCAAATGCTGATTGATCCTTATTATTTGTCTTTCTCTCTGTTAAACTTCTAAATTGATTGTTTCCCCTCATGGTATTTTGATGATATTGATAATGTATTGATTTTGTTTGGGGGGATCAAAGTCAGTTTGATCTTGGACTGTCTTGTGGAATTGTTTAGTATGTAATTGCTGTGAACAACGTTTATGATCCCACCTTCTTGGGAATACTCCACTTGATATTAAGTGCTTGCTTCGTACTAAGACTGGACTATATACCTGCTTAACAGCAGTGTTAAGGTTATTTTGAGTTTTTCATATTTTTATTGTTTAAGAGAACCGCAGAATTATTCAAGAAGAGTGGATTGACAAGGAGTGCTGTAAATGAGAACACATATTCAACATTGATCACTCATTATGTAGGGATAATTCATTCAAAGTTAATTACAAAGTGTAAAGAAGGCCTTCCGAAAACAGTAAGCATCCGAATACCTTGCACTGCTTTGGGCCTTAGCGGTTCAGATGGCAACCCTGATTTGTGTACAGGGAAGAAACTTTTCCATCTTCTCTTTCTACATTGGTATACTTCCAAGTCCTACCACTTTGTTAATAAGGCTTCTTTGAATGTTTGTATGAATTCTTAGCGATAACTTTTACTCAACCAACCCTTCACTTACTCTTTCACTCTCCTACGTAATTTATTTTGTACACTTGTGTCCTTCCTCTTTCATCGACACTCCATTTTTCTGGGTGGCTTTCATGGTACGCGACCCTAACCAAGACTTACTAACACTTAACCACCTTCCCGTGCATACAGTTTGACTGTTCATAACATGCTTTGAAATGTTGTGATGACATGAACAATATTCCTAACTACTTTTATTCTCGTCTAACAAACCTAATGTACACAAACATGCAAAAATATTAATCTATGAATGCAATTGTTCAGCTAAGTGAGTGAAATTCACTGAAAAGAGACTCTCTACTGATTTGTTTATTCTTATATATTCAAGAACTGGAAAGAATCAAACATGCCCTGGATGAAAAACTTCGACCGGAACAAGCTGGATTCACGAGAAATAAGTCATGTACTTATCGAATCGTCACACTGAACAAAGCTTGGAATGGCAGTCACCTCTCCATCTCAACTTCATCGACTTTGAAAAGGCTTTCAGCAGACAGCGTCGATCGAGAGGTAATCTGGCAACTACTTCGCTACTACAGGGTGCCATCGACAATTATACATCTCCTCCAACAGTTATATGACAATGCTACATGCCAAGTAATTCACAACGGGAAACTTACCGAGGCCTTCGAAGTGAGGACGGGAGTGAGGCAAGGCTGTCTACTATCGACAATGATTTTCCTGATTGCAGTAGATTGCATAATGCTACAGAAAGAGGTGGGCAATGAGGAAACAGGCATAAAATGGACCCACACAAAGAACTTGGAGGACCTGGACTTCCCCGATGATATATGTCTGGTTTCACACAAACTGGAAGATACACAAATGAAAAGCAACAAGTTGACAGCAGAAGTATCCACAGAAGATGGGACTTCACTTCAGGTGAACAAAGATAAAACAGAGGTGATGAAGATTCCTGGCCAACACCATCAGCAACAACAACAACAGACAACAATCAGAATAAATGGGAGGAACCTGAAAGAAACAGCCTATTTTACCGAACCCTAAAGGGAAGCATCGTTTGGACAACAGGCCAAAGGAACTGATCAGGATATCAAAGCAAGACAAGCTTTCATTACACTCAAGTCTGTGTGGAGGTCAACAGCACTCAGCATCGGAAATAACATCCGGATTTTCAACTCGAATATGAAGTCAGTGCTACTATACGGATGGATCAGAGACTTGGCGCGTCATGAAGAGCATCCCAAACAAACTACAGACATTCATTAACAGCTGTCTTCGGTCAATAATACTCAAGATCAGATAGCTGGCCAGAAAAGACCACCAACAGGGATCTCTGGCAATGAGCGAACTAACCCAGCAGGAACCGATTTCGCTACAAATAGACAGAAAGAAATAGAGGTGGATTGGGCTTACTCTGAGGAATTCATCAAGTAACATCACTAGACAAGCCATTGCTTGAGTGGAACCCGAAAGGGAATCAGTGAGTTAGTCATGAGTGCAAGGGTGACTTGGAGGAGGTCATGTGAAGAGGAGATGAAAGCATGTGGGCAGACTTGGAGCGGGGTGAAAAAGTTGGCAGAAAACCGAAGGCAATGGAGACTTGGGTGGCTGAAGCCCTATGTTCCTCTAGGAATTAAAGAATACACTAATATTATTAATAAATATATTCAAGAACAATCATTTTCTTCCTGTTTTTGGGTTGTTTTGTGATCGTGCGTATCTCAAGAATGTTTTACCAGCTGAACAATAGGATGCAAAAATCCGTTTACTGCGTTCAGACTATTACCAGCTGTTTTAGATGGATAAAGCCATTAACTAATTAAATGAATAAATTTCTTATCATGTCATTCATTTAACTGTGGTCACTAAAATTCACTGCATAAACTGTTTGAGAATGATAAAGGGTTTCCTCAAGAATGAGGTAGGTGTAGACATACTGCTATACGATAATGGTCAGTTTCTATTTTCCCATTCATATATATATATATATATATATACATATACATATATATATATATATATATATATATGAGAAACAGAATGATTGACATAATATAGAAGAAGTCAGTTAAATACGAGAAATTTTACAATACACACCTGAATCAACACAATATGAGGGTAACAAAACCAGAAGGGTAGATATTGAGTAAGTACTATCCTTATTTCTAAAGAGACTCATGTCAGTAAACTAAATGAATTATTTATTAAGCAATTACTATAAACTCTTAGAATTTATATGTAAACAGACTCTTAATTGTTTAGCTTAGAGTTCTAGAATAATGAAGTCTCTTAAGCATCCATTATTGATTTGACTTAAAAGCTTTCACAATAATTCCCTAATCATAAATTAAACATGAACTAAAGAATTGACATATATTTATTTCCCTTGAAACCTCTATGCTATTTTTTGCAGCAGTAGTTGTATGGTCTGTGAAAATAGCCTCCGATTAAATTTCAGAAAGCTTCATGGTTATCATCTGAGTGCGTGAATATAACCCCATACACAGAATGATTCACTGTTCCCCACTTTTTATGCTGTAATTTGGAGATTCAATGTCCTGTCAATGTCCTATACTTTTAAATTAATACATCTGAAGTTATGAGAGATGGGTATATTTCTTTTTTTTTGTTTACTGTTATTTTTTCAAGTGTTGGTTTGTAGGGATTTGATTGAATTCAGGATTTCATCATGAGCTGACATTAGTTAGAGAACCATTGGAAAACCTGGGAGTACTGGACAACTGTTTCGTCCTAGTTTGGGACTCTTCAGCAGTACGCACGCACCGGGATTCGAACCCAGGACCTTCCGGTTACAAGGCGAGCTATTTTTTCTTTTTTGCATGACTTGCCTCATTTTGATGAAATGAACTTTGTTAAGTATGCGAACGATCTAAATATTTTTTAAATGTCTTTTAACTCCCACTTAGACTGTACTAAGATGAACAGCTTTCTATCAGGAATTAGCGAATGGTCTTCGTCTAACGGCCCTAAACTAAATCCTTCTACATACCAGACTGTCAATTTCAGTTCCTGATGTAAACGAAAGTTAAATGAAGCCGTTGTTTTCTATGACCCTTGCGAAACTGATGATATTGATATAGAAACCAAGTCTGAAGTTAAGTATCTTGGATTAATTCTTACTTCTGATCTATCCGTGGTCTTCCCATGTCTTAGCAATTTCTAAAAGAATATTTCGTCTGATTTTTACATTCAGAAGTTGAGGCACTCAGGCATAACCCAACCTCCCCTCTTACAGTATGTCAACTCGTGCATCTTACCTGTTCTTTATTACTGTTCTCCCTTATTATTTCCTTGGTTGCTTAAAAAAGACTATATCATACTTCGTAGAACTGTGAAGACTGTCAGTATGACGATTGGTATAGTATCTCATTGGGCCATATCGCTAACATCGTCATTGATAATAGGCACTTGATGTCACGCAACAAATTTGTTAAAGGAATTTTGTTAGACTGTGAGCATCCACCTTACCACCCGCAGCTCCAACTTTGTGTCTCCTCAGGTAAAACAAGAAGTCTTTTCAGAAGACTTTATGCACGTACGTTTAAGTATAAAAATTCCACCATACCATATTTAGCACGTACTTTATGTGATGATAATGGTGTCAGGCATGAACTAACTAACTAACCTTCTTTGCACTACTAAATAAACCATTTCTTCCACCCTTACAGTACCAAACTTTATTGTTATTGTATTTCTTATATTTATAATCCTCTCAATTATTTTGTCTTTATTTATTTATTTATTTTCATAAGTGTGAACATCATTTAAGCTGTGTTATAACTGTTAATTTTGTATTTTTCCTCACCATACTTTATCAAGAGAACATTAGATTCAATAATCTATAACATGATAAAATTTCCAAACTGAATCGCCAATACTGTTTGAGACAAACTCACTGTTATTATTGTTATATTTAATACTCTCTATTCGTGCTTTGAATATTTTTGACTTTATATCGTAAACATGGACAAATTCCTGTGGTTACTTTTGTTTTAATTTTATTTATATTTTAAGTAAATCAGATGCAAGGTGTTGTGACAAATGCTGAGAATTCCATTTTGTATTATAAGTACTGTTTTGGAGTAAAGTAAATTATTATTATTAAAAATAATATATGGAATACTGTGCTAGCAGGGTGAAGCAGAATAATTTTTGGGAAAATCTCTTTTGCATGATCTACTTGTGATTTAGCTAGTCAACTTAACATTCCAAGTCACTTTGTAATAATGTTCCTCTTTTTCCATAGACTGCATATCATTGTTCGCATACTGTCTGTTGAGTGAATTCCTATTATATGTCTTTCTTTCTTATTAATCTCCAATTCTAATGCTTATTTTTGGGATTCTATGATGATACCATTGATCATATGTTGTTTTACGAAGCTGATTTTGTTTGAGTCAGTCATGGTCATTCTGATCTTGGAGTATATTCAGCAATTGTTTGGTATGTGACTGTTGCTGACAGAGTATTGATCACACCTTGTTGGAAATATCCTACCTGATTCTCAAGTACTTCTTACAGTTGGTCTTGCTGAAATAATTCTGCTTGTTTTGTAAACGATATCTAATTTGATCTGTATAGGTAATTTTGAGTTTTTGGCTTATTATTTTTTTTTAAACAATACCACAGACCTTATCATCTTCTTACTTTCGTCGGGACATTTTGGTACAGATCGTAACTCGAGGAAGTTCTGGTTAGCTAAACAGCAGAACGCAAAGATTGATTTCTTGCGTTTAGACCATAACATATAGGTCATCGTTGCTACACAGAGGACAGGTGATCTGTGAAGAACTTGTCGATTTTCAGTTGAGATTCATAAATTAAAAAAATGAAGCGAGCAAACATCGTACTTGACAGATGAATTCAAGCGTTAATCGCATTGAATTGGTAGCAGCGTCTGACGTTCATTATGATAATGGAAGTAATAATCATTCACACAGAATATTCTTACAAGTACTTCATGACTGATTGTATTTATCGGCTGTATGTTTTAAAAGCATCGAATACAAGCCAGCGCAATCCTTTACCTCTCTAAGCCGCTAATAAGACTGTTAAAGAGGGAAGCTTGGACATGAGGGTGGCAATCCCATCCCATAAAATTAGATACCACTGCTAACGCAACTTCAAAGCTCTAGCTTCACTCCTTATGTTCCACTTCGAGCGTAAAGATATAACATAAAAATATGCTCAATAGTTGGTTTGTAAGGGATTAGATTTCTTTTGACGACTTGAGCATGAATTGATATTAGCTAGAGAACCATTGAAAACCAGCACTGGAATATTGGACAGCTGTTTCATCTTAATCAAGAGAATCATCGGCAGTACGTACCCATTGGAATTCAAACCCAGGATGTTTCGGTTACAAGGCAAGCTTGTATACTGATGCCCGCTAGTAACTTGCTACAGGATGGAGTTTCCTGGAGTTCTAGTGAGAAGTCGAGACAAGTGAGGTCGATCCAGTCAAGTATGAGGAATTATGTCCCGCTGATGAGATTGGTTGGTGGTCACACTAAAGCCAAGAATTGATAGAAGTTAAAATTCACGAAATGGTCATTGAATCAGATCCCAGTAGCTTGGAACTGGAATGTCCTTGGTTTGAAACCTGGTGGTGTGTGAGTGTACTTCCGATAGTTCCCAAACTAGGATGAAACAGCAGCTGTCCAGTATTCCACTTCTGGTTTTCAGTGGTTCTCTGACTGATATCAATCCATAATAGCTCATGAGATGCAGAAATATTTTCCTGACTTATTTGTAGAAGTGTATTAGCACAAAGCTTTGGAGTATGTTGACCAATCCATGTGTAGTGATTTGTTACACGTGTCAACAAAATTACGGTCTTCGCGTTAAATAAGAATAACTAGTAGTTTTTTGAATTACTTTCGCTTATAAATTTTATAAACCACAATAGGGAAACATTGACGAATAAACTGAGTTTGCTTTATGCTAAATTTATTCTAAATAATTCGGACATACATACATCTTTTAGCTTGACATTTCATGGTCGATTAAGAATAATTTTACTCCATTCAATGATAAAGCCTACATAAAGCAATTATATTCTATTTTATTCATCAATATATATATATATATGTGCGTCGGTGGCACAGTGGTTAGGACTCATGGTCCGGGGTTCGAGCCCACGCCGGCGCACACCTGATATCTACGGTCGGACTGCAAAATTTGGGCTACCGATATCCATGCTGAAAATTCCATACTTGTACCGAAAATACAGTGTGGAATCAAGCTGTAAATCAAAAATCAAAATCAAATATATATAAGGATGAAAATGAAAAGTTCACCAACTAATTAAACCATTCAAGGAACGAATGTCTACACTGGAACGTTAAATGTCATATTCAATTTATTTTCAATCGCCTTAGTTTAATTATGCCATTTCCCTTGTCCTTTTATGGTTGTGTAATTATTTGTGTGTTCACCTGTCACACAACATCTACACCCTTTATATCATATTTTTTCACTGCCTTGATCACACTTCCTAATGGAATTGTGCTATTCTTAATTTTTATTTGCTCACTGATATTTCTTATCTGAAGAGTAGAAGAGGAGGAAGCGAAATTCCTGAAAATCGGTCCCGACAGAAAAGTTGAATACATTCATAGTATCTTGGTTCACATGCTATTCTTGTGTACTTATACAAACAGAGAAGCACATGAGCAAGTCAGGCAGACATGTTTTTTTTTATTAGTTATAGCTTGACTCCACACCGTATTTTTGGAACAAGTATGGAATTTTCAGCATGTGATATGGGTAGTTCAAATTTAGCAGACTGACCGTTGGTATCAGGTGTGCATCGGCAGGGTATCGAGCCCCAGATTATTTGCATGGTCGGTAAGAGTGCTAACTGCTGTGCCGCCAACGCAACTGTAAATAGTGAGCTAATCCCAACCATTTTTTTTAAAAAATATAACACACTTCGTAACTTATTCCGGTAGCATTCATGCATACTGTATACCTGAATGCATGAGTATGTATGAGTTGACAGTTTCGTTCATGTAGTCCACAACATTTCCCATTGTATCTGAGTAGTAAACAAGAAGATTCATTCAAAAGCTTCATAAATATGAAAAACTGCACTAGAATTTCATGGTTTATGCGTATTATCGGCTTGTTATATGACGTTCACCCCCTCACACACACACACACCCGCGAAATGATTAATGAAAACGAATTGAAACATTAAAGTTACGGAGAGTCGGTTAATATTACTGACAATAAAGCAGAAATTAGGGTGGCATTTAAACCTACAAACTAACTCAGATACGACAAGCTCTGTAGGTTAAAAGACCCAGTTGACCCAATTGGACAAAATAATATAATTTACAAAATACTCCCCAATGACTGTGAGTTAAGTCAACTACATAGGTCATACTAGTAGGTCAGGCGTAGTCAGATTGTCGGAACACAAGGATTTATCTAAGGTAAGAATGGTTGACCCCGTGAAGGTAAGTAATTTAGAAAAAAGCTCAGCAATTGCAATGCATGTATCAACATACAACCACACAATCGGGTTGGAGAGGGTTAAAATTCTAAAAGTAATCTAAGTAGGTGGAGGGAGAGGTTGATTACTAAATCTTTGTTCATCGAGTCTACACCCAACACATTCAATAGGAATGATTCATCACTCATACCCGAAATATGGAAAATACTACTACCAATCAAATCAAGTGAAAATCAGGTGAAAAACAATGGAGCTATAGATGAATGAAGTTAGGAAGTCGTGTGAGCAATGCCTTGATATGATTATGACTGGCAATAAATTGTGCTCGATACGTGGTCATCAGTGAACATTACTGTATAACACACTGTGAGACTTTATCCAATCAAAATTTACCCATAATGGAATTACTTACCAGGATTTAAAATACACTTTATAGATGATCCATATATTTTATTCCAATGTGATAAGAAACTACATATATCCATGAGTAATACATCATCTTTTTCAAGTTGACTGCCATGTTTAGAATGATGATCAGTCACTTCTATCCTTGGACTTGGATTAGTATAATTTGATTCTTCTGTGAATATTTCTACACGATTTACATGTTCACTAGAAAAAGTTTGATTCTGTGTAGAAGCCATTGTAGCAGCAGCAGCAGCGGCAGTGGTTTTATTGTACATTGAGACATTACGCAATTTTGCATTTGCTGTTTCAAAATACAATCCACGTTCATCAGAATAACATTGATAGGGGAGTTCAATATTTGGTGTAGTAGTATACATTAAAGTGCATACAATATGACGAAATTCTTCAAGTTGGGAACGAAAATTACTTTTATAGGCTAGAGATAAAGTATAAAGTGGATGAAAAAACAAAATAGCTCTGAATAACTCATACTACAAATTTCAAAGTAATGGTAGGAATAAAAAGATTAACACTTATATCTTTCAAAAAACACTAATAGGTTTATCACTTCAGAAATTAGGTAACTCCTTGTGTCATTTTATGACATTATGAGGATACCACCAAACTTCAGGAAAAAGAATAAAAACAAATTGGATGAGAGTGTTTGGTGCACTGCACTTCTTAGGTGAAGTGGATGAAACTCAAAGTCGTCTCAAAACCTTGAGCGAAATGATGAGTTTGCTTAGCCTAGGGATATTACCTGTTAAGTGTCAGAGGTTTCTATACAAGTGGCTTGTGTAGGATTGTATTTTAAGATACATAAATGAAGCGTTTTAATAGCACAGCCATTAAAATTATCAAGCAGGTCACCTCGTTCCTAACGGAATGATTAACATTGGAATCTGCGCGCGGACATAAAAGGATCAACCTGCATTTGATTGAGTATACTATACATTAGTTAATTCTATCCTACTTTATCGTTGCAAAACATGATCGCTAATGATTAGGGATATGAAAGGATTAGGAGTTTTTGATCAAAGGTGTCTTTCCTGCAATAGCTAGTGCTAGGTATAACAGTACTATTAAAGTCAGGAGTGAAATCTTGTGCTATAAAAGTAAGACGACTGATGACCTTTTCATGGCCCTAGCATTTAAGACGGCTGATACATGTATAACAACAGAAGACAAGGGCCAGGCAACAGGCCGTTTATTAAGGAAATCAACACGTATTTATATATTTTCATGTACATTATTATAGCTGATTCAAGCAAACAAACACACTCTTCTGATTGGTTGTTTCCCACAGACAGTTGACCTTGAATCTATTTGTGACTGCTTCTTGAATGTCAGATCATCTATACGTTAACTGTATCTGCCTAATCAAAATCTGCTGTGATTGGTTGTTGAATCAGTCTTGTTCATATTTTCTCACGACCAATATTAGCGACATAAACATTGACGTAAATTAATGTCCACCAATTGGCTAGCAGTCTGCTCTTACCACTCATGTACTAAACATGCAGAACCACTGGCTTTACTGACCAGAGACGTCAAATGAAGGCGGAGTAAGCTGGAAGGGAACTAAGTGTGATTAGAATTACGTGACGACTACTGATCTGATGCAAATCGTGAGACCCTGAGCAGGGTACAAATTATGTTGATGGCCAGTGTCTGGATAATCTCAGTGAAATGGCTCTATAGCGTTTGCGATGGCCCTTACACACTTGTGGATCTTTGGAACTTCACCTCCTCCTAATTACTCTGCAATGTCTTTCCTTCGTGGCATCAATTCATTCCTTTATCTATTATATACGCAATTTAAAAGTGTGATAGCTTAAGTTGATGTACTTCAAAGCAAAGTTCAAGGATGAACGTTTCGTCCTATTTTAAGACCAGTCATTTGGATGTACCTGCATTCGCCAGGGTGTGATGATGGTATTCCATCTGAGGCTGGATCCCAAATGCCAAGGGACTGTCTACTAGAACACGGGCCACAAAAGCCACGTCTTATGTTTTATTAATTCAATTTTGATTTCCTTGTTGATTGATTCGACTTAAATCTTCCACCGAATCGCTTCAAGTTAATCCTTAGACATCGTCGAAGCATCCGTACCAGGAGTTGACATGTCAACAGTCAATAAACAGGGAAACGAGAAGTGAAATAAAAGTATTTAATAGGGTTCTGTGTTGTTCCATCAGTTTGACAAATGTAGAAGTGCATAAGATATGTGATAGAATGTTCTGCTGTGGACAGGTAATTATGTACTTGTCTGTCAACAGGAGCATATCTGCAATCTCAAAAGAACTCATATTCCTTTCTGAGATTTGAACCCGAGTCACCTAGTACTACAGTCAGGGACGTTACCACTGAGATATTTGCGCTGGTGATCGGCCTCATGTAGAGCTGTCCTGGATACATTAACTGGATACCAGATACCAATTATTTTCAATCTGTGCCAAACGGATGACCAGATACTTGACACTAGTTACTATCCAGAGTCCATGACTTAACATTCAAAACATCTGGTGCTTGTATAAAACAGCCTCATGAATGTGCTGGTATTACAGTCAGGAAAAATTATCCAACTTACTTTGAAGTGATTGTATTTCTAAAACTATTTCACTGATAACAATTCCTGCATCAAGTAGTACCAATATGGACATAAATATTTGTAAGATATTACTTCGAAGGCACACTAGAAAACACTGTCTCCACCTGTGAAGAAGGGAAAAAAACACAAGAATTATAAGTTTGAAATCTCCGTTAAAGACTTCATATATATGTATTAATTAGTTTAGTTAATAGTATAATTGCTAATGATCTTTATGTGTGTGTGAGGAGGGAAGACTCCACCAATTCGGAAGAAAAAAGCTCTTCCAGAATATTTCTGAGATAACATGGAATCGTATAAATAATTTTCATTGAAAATTTTCAGGTCCAGTGATAATATTAGTAAAAATGTTACCGTAGGAGTTAAATTTTATATTAATACAGTCAAAAAAAGTCGTGTTTTTACATTTTAAAGATAGAAGGACTACTTGCGAAGCATTTATTGACAATTTGGATATGCTGCAGTGTGTTTCCTCTGGTTTGAATAGTAATGATAATGATGAAAACCACTTTATTCTAAACAACAATTATTATCCTACAGAATGGAATTTTCAGCGTTTGTTTTGACATTTTTCTACAATTTGGCTCCTTTCCCAAATACATAAATACACAAAATTAAAAAAATTATTATACTAAAACCACAAAAAACTAAAAGCTGGTGGAACATGAAGATTTGATAGAAATTAGAATCCATGGACCGTTGGATCCGGTAACAGTGGCTTAATGGTCTACGAGCCAGCTAGTCTTGTAATCAGAAGGTGCTAGGTTGTAATTCCGGTGGGTGCCTACTTTGAAGAGTCCCAAACTAGGACAAAACAGCTGTCTGACACTCCCAGGTTTTTCAATGATTCTCTTTTTTTGATGTCAGCTCACGATGAAATCCTGTAACCAGGCAAACGAAATCTCTACAAACCAACATTTGAAAACAAAGAATATAACATTCAGTGTATGTTACTATAATCTTTGCTAATACTTTGCTGTCCAGCTACAGATTTAAGAAGTTTTCAAGTTCTTTTCTGACATCCAGCTCTTCGTACGGAGCCTGTGCTAAATATGTATGGTCTGGTAGAATTTTTATATTTAGTAGCTTTACGAGTGTAAATTCTTACCAAATTTTCTTCTGGCTTAACCCGACGAGATACAAGGCAAAAGTTGTGAATAAAAAGCATGTTCGGTATAAGACAAGATAACTTTAGCCAACTGCTGGTACAGCTTATTTTGTGTGCTGTTGGATTATCGCACAGGAAGGGAATTTTACATACGAAAACCTCAAACACACACTACAGCACTACAGTTTTGAGGAGGAAAAGTAGAGAAATGCTTATTAACTATCTTCAAGAAAATTGGATCTCGCTAAAATTTTATCAAAAAGAAGCGGTTAAACTCAAATCAAAATGTCAGAGATAGGGAAAACCTACTTAGAAACCATAAGAAAATTCATCCTAACATATAAAGATAATGGTTCTGCGATAATGACTAGAAAGATAAACAGAAAAAAGGAGATAAAATTACTACCATTTACAAAATAAACTGTATGAACGGTAACAGGCATTACATCGGCCAGAGTGAGCGTCCCCTTCGAATCAGAATCCAAGGACACAAATCAGCCGTGAAAAGACACGATATATACTCTTTAGTATCAATGCATCTAGACAATTGTGGACATCAATTTGATTGCGATAATGTCAAAATCTTAGACAGAGGAAACTCCAAATGTGCCAGGGAATTCCTAGAAGCCTGGTACTCAAACATATATGCAATTAACAAACACGATAATATAGACCAAATATACCAACTAATAAAAAGTAAATCATGTGATCAGAAAGTTTAAAATCGAAGTCAATAGAAAATGGTCAATACATATGTAAAGATGGCTACCAGGAGACGCAGGTATATCACTCATGAAAAATTTAAATTATTTCGCCTCATGCTAAATATTGCGCTAAACCAATCAGCCCAAAGAACACTATTAATTGCAGATAATGACTAGAATGCTAGAACCATTCTTAGTAGACGCACAGAGTAACTCAATCACTAGAATCAGTGATATGCAGGTCAAAAGGTCCTAGAGTAAAGGAATACAAGGTCGAAGTCATCTACAAAATAAATTACATGAACCGCAGTAAACACTGTATATTTCTCAAACTGGGAGTCTCCTTCCATTCAGAATTCAAGATCATAAATCAACTTTGAAGAGACACGATATATATATTCTTTGGTATCAACGCACGTATAAAAATTACAAACATCAAATAAATTAGGAGAATGCATAAATTTCGAAAGCATTGATAATGAACAAAGAATACTCTTTTCGATAACCTGCTTCTCATCAGGATCTACAGTTATATATACATTACAGTGAATGAATGAATGAATTAGTGCTATAAACAACTGGAATGTTGTTTAAATAAAATCGAATCAAAAATATTGATAGATTAGAGCTCAATAGCATAGCTCAACATAAAATAACCTGAATGTCGGAATAATTGGAAAAGATAATATCACAAATTCATGAATTTATAGTCTCTGCTGAAGGTCGGCCAGGGCAGTAATAGTGGCTAGCTGGACTTGCTTCTTTTGAACACAGAGCACTGGTTGTTTGAGGTGGATTGCAACAGCCTCTGGTGTTTGGAGCATGTGGTGCTTCGATGATTTTGACAATTTATTAGGCACCCGGTAGATGATGATAGAGAAGGATTCTTCCACGCTGGGAGTCTTTGTGGCCAGCCGGTTTGCACCAGATGGTCCAATATTGAACTGTTAATGCTTTTCACTACACTTTTACTTAGCCATACTGGTTCTCGAAGGTACACGGGAAATCAATTTCCTAGAGCAAGAGCGCACAGTGCCAGAAATGCTTAGGAATTCCTAGAAGTCTGGTGCTTAGATAAATCAACGATTAACAGATGCATTATTGTCGGGGCAAATTTCTGAACTAATAAAGAATAAGTAACGTGAAAAAAGACAGTCGGATTCTAAGTCAGTAAAAACTTATGCCAATTGACAAGCACTCGCGACAATGGTTGTCAGGGGATACATCTATACCATTTACTGAGCAGTCAGTTAAGTTGACCTCATACTGTTGTAACTTTAATTTCAAGATTTTGTCTAGAATTACAATGAAAGTTTCACATTTATATCATTCAGCTTAGAGGAAAGATAAAATCCTAAAACGTCCTCATGGGCTGCATATCTTCCTGATTATTATCTGAAAATTCAGATTTTAATTAATCTATTTTTAAAATTACTGCAAATGACAACTACATAATTGTCTGAGCTGAAGTTCCACCTGTCATTGATTTTCTAATGTTTTGCAGTAATAGCTTATCGACAGTAATAAAAAAAAGCAAAATATTTGGTTTTGTGTGGACACTGATGTTAGGTTCTGTTTTGTCCGGAACATTTGGAGAGTCATTACCCCGTGCATTGTGTATTAGAAGACTTCCACATCCTTTCTCTATTTAGGAAAGTAACTGGTGCCTACTCAAAAAAATTGTTTACAATTCTCGAAACTAGGCATTTTCTAAATACATATATATATATGTATATGTATATTGAAACATACAGCTATTCCTTATATACAAATTCAATGAACAAGGATTTAAGTATAAATCTCTTTCTACTTTCTGAGACTATTATTTTGTCCCACCCCGTGGCATGGTAGCGAGAATAAAATATAGCCTTATCACCTTAATTCCAGCCTTAATTCGAATTCGCCGCAAAGTCACAGGTGTCCATTTCTTTTGATGACAGTACTATATGGGTGATATATATATGTATATATAAATGTACATCTACTTATCTGATGTTAAACGCTTGGAGGCAACGCCCAGGAAGCCCTAGACCTACGTTTCTTTCTTGTTGGCACTTGTCAGTGTGGTGTATTCATGCCTAGTACTCGAGTTCTAGAGTAGACATGAGTTACTTCACAGTTGCAGGTACTCCCTGCCAACGAATAACTAAGGGCACAAAACCTAAGTTCTGTGCCTCCTGCTGACTGCCTCCAAATCATCTAACACCAGGTCAGAGTACACTGAGATTGCGGGGGACCAAAATCGTTGACGACATTGTGAAATTGACTGGTAGAATTCATTTGGCGCCTACATTAGGAACTGAATACATGGCGCTAGTTACTACCTAATGACCAATTAGTGTAATATTCTTATCGCTAGGTATGTTTTAACTTTTGTTGCATTCAGTATGTACAGATATAACAAAGATTCATTTCAAAAAATACGCAAACACATAGTACAGAAATTTTTGGTGTATTTCTATCCAAAATATTTCCTCTTAATACATGATCTACTTGTAAAGTAATAATCTGAAGTATATCATGTGATGCCATGTTGTTTCATATGAAGAGAGAAGCACTTTTGTCCAAATTTTCTTGACTTAATTCACGAATTGCACAGCTTTTTGTTGAAAGCTGATTGAATAGGTGGGTGAGTTCATGGAGTGATCGTCTGATATAATCTCATGATTAAAATAACAAGAAATACAGTCTAATAGATGGAAATTTTAGTAGTAGCCCAATGGTTTAAGCAGGCCGCCATCATTTCATGAAGAAAATTTAAACAATCTTTGGGATTTTATCAACTCTTTCTAGGCATCATGTTATTTTATTACTTTAATATACTTCTCTTTTTTCAATGAATTTCATTATTTTTAAAATGATCTAAATTATTGACTATTTTTTGTGTTTATAGTCAGTATTTTTATACTGAACAACATAAACACGTTTTGATATTTGCTGACTAAATACTCTATGCAGTTAACCAGTGTCTGGAAGACAGCTGCGCATTTTATAAATACAATCTCTACCCTTCCATGTCTACTACTTTACCGTTCAATTTTTATCTGTTGGCTTGCAAGGATTTGATTGTTTAAAGGACTGATCAGGAGCTGACTATTAGAAGACCTCAGAGTACTGAACAGTTGATGCATCCTTGTTTGGGAATCATCGCGACCCGGCACCCCACTGGATCTAAACTCAAGATCTTTCATTTATCAGACAACCTCTTAGGTCATTCAGCTACTGGGACCCAACCTAATGGCCAGTGAATTCCATTTCCCGCAAATTCATGAAATAACATCTCATAGAATCC